CTGTTTTTCTTGTTTGTTTACTGAGACCTTCACTACGTTTGAACCGCTAAATAATAAGGATTCACGGAGTAGTCAGCACACTTAGGACCCGGGTTGATATTAAAACCCAAACCCGCTATACTACGCTCTAGTAGGTGGTTTCACTTGGCCATTTTCTAGTGTGACAGTAGAGGCGTGTCAAGTATCGGTAGGGATTGATAGAGGAGGCGCTCCTGAAGTTAGAGGGGATCAGATTGCAAGTAAGCTGAAAGGTGCGGGGAACCTATCCCCTTTGGGTAATAAATGAAAGTACTGAGTTATAATTGTTGTGGTCTGGGGAACACATAGCCAGTTAATTCCCTGAAGTCGCTATTGCGACGGCTGTCCCCAAATGTGATCTTTTTAATGGAGACGAAACAAACTAAGAGCGAGAATGAAATTTTGATGAGGGAGGCTGGCTTCACCAATGGTGATGCTTGGTAGGTGGATCAGGCACGTGGTGGTAGAGCGGGAGCCGGGAGGTTTGAGCATATGGTGGGAAAATGGTGTGCGGTTGACAATTATGTCTATGTCACCCAATCATATTGACACTAGAATCGACGATGAGGTTCGAGGGGTATGGCGATTCTCAGGGATCTATGGGTGGTCGGAATCGGCGGAGAAAGAGAGAACATGGGATTTGTTAAGAAGATTGGCGGATCAATGGGAGGGTAAATGGCTATGTGGGGTTGATTTCAATCTAGTCCTTTCAGCTACGGAGAAGCGGGGAGGCAATGAAGTGGTCGCAGCTGAGCTTGAAGGTTTTGCTGAGTGTTTTTTGGATACGTGTTTGAGTGATATTAGTTTTCAGGGGCACAACTTTACTTGGGAAAATAAGAGGCAAGCGGGACATTACATTGAAGAGAGGCTGGATAGATTCTTGGCTTCGGAGAGCTAGTTAGTGGAATTCCAGTCCGTTTCCATCACCAATCTTGACAAATATTGGTCAGACCATAGACCAATTATCTGTAACACGTTTGGAAAGGAGGAGGATGAACCGAAATGGGGGTGGTCGTTCAAGTTTGAGCCGCACTGGGTAAAGCACGCAGACTGCCCGAAACTTATCAGTGAAACATGGGCAGGAGGTGCAGGACAACCAAATCTTCAGAGGCTTGATAACTGTCGGTTGAAACTTGATGAGTGGAGTAAGCATACTTTCCCGCGGTTTGCCAAACAAAAGAATCGGATCAGGAGGGCACTTAAAGCATTGGATAGAATGGCCAGGACAGAGGAGACTATAGCCCAAGTAAAACAACTGGAATCTGAGTTGGATGAAGTCAAGGAAAATGAAGAACAATATTGGAAGTAGAGGTCGAGAGCTGACTGGTTGAAAGGAGGAGACAACAACACAATTTCTTCCATAGAAAAGCCTCCGCTCGACGCAAAAGAAATACGATAAAGAAGTTGAAGGATGAAACTGGGCAGTGGTTCGTGGGGCAGGAGCAGCTTTTTGCTGTCTTAACTAACCATTTTGCTTCTGTGTTTACAGCAGGTCATATCCCAATAGAGAAACCGGTTTCGGAATCAATTGCGACTATAGTAAGGGCGGGAGACAATGAGATGCGGACGAGTCCAGTTTTGATGGAGGAAGTTACACGGGCTTTGCGTCAGATGGGGACGTGTAAAGCCCCTGGGGCGGATGGCTTGTTTGTACTGTTTTATCAAAAATTCTGGCATATCATAGGTGAGGACATTGTGAAGCTCGTTTGGGAGATTATCTAAGGAGGGGAGATGCCGCCAAACCTGAACCATACGTTGATCACATTGATCCCCAAGGTGAAACTCCCTACCTCTCCAAATGAGTTTCGCCCGATCAGTCATTGCAATGTGATCTATAAAATTGTAGCGATGGTCTTGGCGAACAAGTTGAAATTGATATCGGATAAGCTAATCTCATCGGCGCAGAGTGCTTTCATGCCTGACATGTCTATAACTGATAACGTGATGGCAAGTTTTGAATGTTTCCACTCGATGAAGCGCAGAAGCACTAGTAAGACGGGTTTCCTGGCCGCGAAAATAGATATGGCAAAGGCTTACGATCAGGTGGAATGACACTTCTTGGAAGGTGTGATGCGAAATATGGGTTTTGCGGACATTTGGATTGGAACGATAGTGAAGTGTGTCCGATCAGTTACTTACTCGATTTTGGTTAATGGGAATCAGTCTCTGATCATAGTCCAGGGCAGAGGTCTTTGGCAGGGGGACCCACTCTCTCTGTACCTATTCTTGTTATGTGCGGAAGGCTTATCGGCTTATACAGAGCAGGCAGTTCGTGAGAAGATGATCCATGGGTATCAACTGGCGCAGGGCTCCCCTGTTGTCTCTCATCTCTTTTTTGTTGATGACAACATATTTTTCATTCGGGCAACCATCCAGGAAATCTAGGAACTGAAAAAAATCTTGCAGGATTAAGAACGAGAGCCGGGACAGATGGTAAACTTCTCCAAGTCGGTTGTTTCTTTCAGTGCCAACGTGAGGATGCACAACTAGTTGACAACGAGTGGTATTCTCGAGATGAATAGAGTAGAAAAGCATGATAAGTACCTGGGGCTAGCAACGGTGGCAGGAAGATAAAAAAAGGACATGTTTATTGAGTTGAAAGAAAGAATCAGAAAGAAATTAAGTGGTTGGAAGGAGAAGACACTTTCCGCGGTAGCCAGAGAGGTCCTGATCAAATCCGTGGCTCTAGCCCAGTTTTCTTATGCGATGATCGTTTTTAGAATTCCCGAAGGAGTTTTGGAGGAAGTCCAGCGCCATATCTACAATTTTTGGTGGGGACAATGTGGCTCGGAACGCCGCGCCCATTGGGTGAGGCGAGAGGAGATGGCTTGCCCCAAGGAAGAGGGTGGTATGGGATTTTGGGAGTTAAGAGGTTTCAATACAGCCATGCTTGCGAAACAGCTGTGTAACCTCTACAAGAAACCGAATTCCCTTGCTGCACGAATCCTTAAGGCGAAGTATCATAAACACACTAGCATATTGGAAGCTCACCTGGGGTACCGGCCGAGCTTTATATGGCGTAGCATGATGTCAGCCCAAGAATTCCTATGCAATGGTCTTCGTTGGAGAATTTGAAATGGCTCTACTGTACGCATTTGGTGTGATAGATGGGTCCTGAGTATAAACGAGTATTATGTGCCTTCCGCGCCAATGGGATTGCCGGTGGACGCGGTAGTACGAGACTTTGTGGAGGAGGATGAAGAGGGTTGGGACCAGAATCTTCTTGCAGCCTGTTTCTCGATGGAAGTGGCTGAGGCCATTAATCAAATCCCATTATGAGGAGAAGGGGAAGTGGATGAACAGGTATGGTGCAGCAGCAAGGATGGGAATTATTCTGTTAAAGAAGGGTACAAAATGTGGCTACAACTATAAGGAGGAAGCGGGTTTAATGCCAGTGGGTAGCCCCGAAACCAGGAAGAAGTTATGGGCACTCAAGCTACCTCCGAAAGTAAAGCAATTTCTATGGCGATTCACCAGGGATGCGTTACCGACGGGTGATCATGTAGGGAGTCGAAGTCCCAGATGGGGTAATAGGTGTGTCTTCTGTAACCTAAAGGAAACACAAGTCCACGTGTTTAGCGAGTTTCAATGGGAGTCCAGGATATGGCGGTCATCGGCATTCGTGGAGTGCTTTGAGGCTTGAGCATCAGGTGATTGCATGACATGGATTACGACGGTGTTAAATACAATGGAGGAAGATGTGATTGAATGGTGGATTGTGTTGCTATGGTTCCTATGGAAGGAAAGAAATGCACAATAATGGAATGGGTTGAAGCTGGCCGAGAATGATATAGTGCTCCGAGCACAATACTTCCGGACTACCGGAAACAACAGGACGTCTAACAGTTTGAAGTGACTGCTGCAGTCGCCAAAAAATGGCGCAAGCCAGGGCCGGGAAAACTCTCCGTGACGTCGGATGCAACCATGATTGATGGAGGGGAGGGAGTTGGCCTTGGGGTGGTTGTACGGGATAGCAATGGTGGTTTTGTTCTAGCTGCAGCGAAGAGATTAAGAGGGGATTATAGTGTAGAGATGGCTGAGGCTATGGCTGCGGAGATGGGAATTCAAACGGTGGCAGGACTTGATAATGGTATACCTATACTTGAGAGTGATTGCATGACTTTGATCTCAAAGATCCAGAACCCGACCCGTGATCTGACCGAAGTAGGGGTGGTTGGCCGGAGTATATGGCGATGGCTTCAACAGTACAATGGTGATAAGTGCCGACATATCCCAAGAGATGTGAATGGTGTAGCTCATATCATGGCTAGAGCGATGACTTATTGGGGAGAGAGAGTGGTTTGGTTTGATAATCCACCAATATGTTTGATTGATCAATTACAGCTCGATGATGTAACGAGAGGGATTGATTAATGAAAAAGCACAGGTTTACCATCGAAAAAAAACCTTCCCCACTGTTATTCCTACCCGCCACTACCATTTTGCAAGTTTCATTGGCAGCATAAGCACCTTGTGAAGGGGAATAGCCTACGTCGTGTAAGTGAGAAAAAGAGGGTATAATTAGTGATTTTAATCTTTTATGCAATTGGAATTTAGGAATTTAACTTAAAATGCTATAAATAAATCGAGTATCAAATAAGTTTTCCTTAATCTGGAAGCACTCGTAAGTAGCTCAATTTGTTGGCCCAAGGAAGAGGCAATTGAGTGGATTTATCCAACGTCCTCTCCTTGTCCTACTACTAGGGTTGGCAATTTGGACCGGGACCGGATTGAAAACCGGAAACCGGACCGTAAAACTCGGACCATTTTAAGACCGGGACCGGATTTAAAACAATCCAATCCCGTCTTTGGTCTTAGAATTAGCAAAAAACCCGGACCAATCCAGTCCGGGTCAAAACCGTGTAAAAACCGGAAGACCGGATAATTACAAAACAAATTTATAGGCTCAAAATAAGCCCAACCCATGGCCTCTCGGCCCACTCACCCCGGCCCAGGCGAGTTTTAGGGTTGCTGGGGTCTCTCTTCAATTTCATTCGGACGCCTGCTGAGTGCTGCCGCCTCCCTCTCCCTCGAGAGTAAAGTGAAAGACAGACAGTCATCCATTCCCATCGCCCATCGGAGACTCTCGGACCATCGCGCCGTCGACGGATTCTCGGACCTTCTCTCGTTGCTGGTCGCGGGTCGCTCCCTCCTCTCTGCGACGTGACATCGCGACCCAGCTACAACACTCCGTCCCGTCGCGACCCAGGAAGCCTCCGCCCTCAACTCCGTCCCGTCGGCCGTCGCGACCACCTCCGATCAGCTCCACGACGCCGAGCGACCAGCCACAGCCAGCCAGCATCTCCGCCATCTCGTCTCCCTCCGTTCCAAAAGACGACCCAGAACAGAAAGCCTCTGCTCCAAAAGACGACCCTGCTGTCCCTGCATCTCGTCGCCCTCCGTTCATCTACCAGCACAGCCGGCAACAGCTGCAAAAGTCAGAAATATGGAAGGGAGCAGCAGCTGGGTAAGTTATTGTTGATTTATTTTAGTGATGAATTGATTTAATCTAGTCACTAGAACATTTTGAATGTGATGTAAGTCTTGTTGTTGTTGTTTGCTAATGTGATGTAACCACAATTCAATTATTTTGCACGCTTACTATAAACATATGATTATTCACCACTTTGGTGCCTACCGCTACCAGCCTCGGTTTTAACTATTAAAGGAAGGTAGAATATCAAGTTCCACAAATGCAGTTATATTCAAAGAAGGTGATGATTGGGAAAATCCCTAGAAGAAAACAAGTATTGGTTTTGGGGGACTTTTTGTTTAGTGGACAAAATGTGTTGTTGTTTGCTGGTAAACCCAAGATCAATAATGGAAATCTTCTAAAAACAGTAGAAGATGGTTCGGTGATGATCAATATACTGTTTGCTGTTGTTGTTTGCTGTTTTTTAGCAATTAGCATCTGCTCCCAAACTGACCAAGAATGTAGTGTGATGTAAGTCTTGTTGTTGTTGTTTTGCTATGATGTAAGACTTTTATGATGAATGTAGTGTTTGTTCTGTAATGGAGAAGGAAGTAAAGTGCATTTTCTGATATTGATTGAATTGTGTTGTGCAGGGTAGTAAGAAGCGAGTTCCAGCATCAAGAGAAAGTGGAAATTGGCCTCCTCTTCCTAGTAAGAAGCGACCACAACCACAAGCTTCAAAGGCAGCTGTTGAAAGTGGGAATAATAGTGGAAATGTTAATGTTCAAGCCGCTGCCACTCAAGAACAAGAACGGCCAGCAGCTATCAACACCACAACAACACCTGAAATGGAGAAGACCAATAGGGAGTATGTTTTAAGGTCACCTGTATGGCAGCATTATGATTGTTACAAAGATGCTAAAGGCAAGAAGAAGGCAAGGTGTCATTACTGTGGAAAGTCACTGGCTGGGGATCCCTCGGGAAATGGTACAAGTTCTTTGGGTAGGCATACTCAAAGGTGCTTAAAGAAACAAAAAGAAAAGGGGAAGCAGTTGAATCTAGAACTCAATCCAACTTCTGTTGAAGGGCAAGGAGTTTTGGGGACTTGGAAATTTGATCAAGAATTTATCAGAGCTGGGTTAGTTGAAATGATAATTCTGGATGAAATGCCTTTTAGGAGTGTGGAGAAAGAAGGGTTTAAGCGCTTCATGGCACGTGCTTGTCCGATGTTTAAGATTCCAAGCAGAAGAAGTATTAGAGAAGATTGTTTTAGATTGTTTCTTGAACAGAAGGGCAAGTTGAGAGATTACTTCAAGATCAAGTGTGGAGGAAGGGTGTCCATAACTACCGATAGTTGGACTTCTTGTCAAAATTTCAACTATATGTGCATCACTGCACATTTTGTTGGGAAGGATTGGAAGTTGTACAAGAAGGTGATAAGTTTTTGCAAGATTACAAGTCATAAGGGGATTGATCTAGGTGATGCAATAGCCGATTGTTTGGAGCATTGGGGTTTGAAAAATATTTTCACCGTCACAGTTGACAATGCAAGTGCAAATGACACGACACTTCTTTATTTGAGAGATCGACTTGAAGAATGGGGTACTAATATAGTTGGTGGAAAGTACCTTCATATGCGGTGTATTGCTCATATAGTGAATTTGATTGTGAGCGATGGTTTAGAAGAGATGGGCATGTCAATAAGGAGGGTGAGAGAGGCTGTGAGATGGGTTAGATCATCACCATCTAGATTGGCAAAGTTCAAGGAGTGTGTGGAATTTCACAACATTGAATCCAAGAAGATGTTGAGCCTAGATGTTCCTACAAGGTGGAATTCCACCTACTACATGCTTGAAGCTGATGTGTTGTTTGAAGATGCATTCTCTAGTCTTGAGAGGAAGGATAAGGATTACAGGCCTGAGCTCAAGGCAAAGAGATACAAGAATCAAGAAATTGGTGTCCCTCAACATGAAGATTGGAAGAAAGCAAAAGTTTTGATGAAGTATTTGAAATTCTTTCATGATTTGACTTTGATTGCATCCACTTCTGTTGTCACTGCTCATTGATTCTTGAGAGAGTTTGGAAGGGTATTCTATCATGTTGAGAAAATGATGAATAGCACAGATGATGGCATAGTTAGGATGGGTATGAAGATGAAGGCTAAAGTTGACAAATATTGGTCGGAGAAGGATTGTGTCAACTTCAGATTGAACAGGTTGGTTTACATGGCTGTGGTGTTTGATCCGAGGCATAAGATGAATTATCCGGAACATATTTTCAAGAAGATGTGTGGAGATGATAGGGCAAAAGTTTTGGTGAAAGAGTTGAATGATGAACTTGAGAAGTTGTTTGAATATTATCAGAGTAAGATGCCTCCCCCTGCTCCTTCTTCTCCTTCAAAACGTCGAGTACAAGTTGCCACTTCAAGTTCACCGAGGTCAGGTAGTGATTCTGATGAATCTTATGATGATTATGATCCTGATGATGATTATGGAAAACCTCAAGCTGGTCATACTAAGAGTGAGTTGGAGAAGTATCTTGTTCACCCTCGAGAATATGATGATGCCGAAGAAGAGTTTGATGTGTTGAAGTGGTGGAAGACTAATGCTATGAGGTATCCCATCTTGAGTGAGATGGCAAAGGATTTGTTTGCTATTCCTATGTCAACTGTTCCTTCTGAGTCCGTTTTTAGCACAAGTGGGCGTGTTTTAGATGAATTTAGGAGCTCTTTGCATCCTAAGATTGTGGAAGCTCACAAATGCAGTCAAGATTGGCTTAGATCAAGTTCTAGTGAGTTTGTGGAGCATCTTGATGGTGAAGATGATGACTATGAGGATCAAGAAGACTTTGTGAATGGTAAGTAAATTACTTTGTAGTTTTTAGTTTTGGCCATATAAATGCTATTGCTAACAATTATATTTTTTTATCCATGTCATTTAGTTTACAATGCTATTGTGGTGGATGAGGCGGAAAGGTGTGAGCATGTGAATGAACACGAAGGTACAAGTACGAGCAATGTCGGAGGGAATGATGTGTTTGGCTCGAGGAGTGGAACAAATCCAGGAGGTGGATCTAATGCTTCATTTATTTCTCTTGAACCTGATGAGTAGAAATGGTTTGGTGAATTTCTTAGGTTGGAGTGAATTTGGTGTTTGATGTCTAAACTTTGTTTGTGAACTTGTGATGCACTTTATTTTTATTTTGAAGTTTGAATTGGACTTTGAGTTTGTAATAGACATCAATGATGGTTGTGATTTTGTATTGGACCATATTTGGCTTGATTTTTGCTACAAATAGGTTGTTTACATTCCAGGAAAATGGGTATATGCTGCTGAATTTTTTGCAACATGGTCAAAACGGATCAAAACGGGTCAAAATCGGATTGGGACCGGACTGTGTCAAAACTGGACCGGGTCAAAACCGGACAGTACCCAATCCAAGTTTTGGTCCCCATATTTCCAAAAAGACCGGACTGGACCGGATCAATTCGGGCCAATTTAACCGGACCGGACCGTATTGCCACCCCTACCTACTACCTTATGCAATAGATGGGGACGAAATTGACCAGGTGCATCAAACATATATAGTTCGAGGTATATACATGACCAAAATTTGTTTGATTCAATCTCAAATGAAATTATAGAAAATTCAGATTTAGGTATGCAAATGAAAACTATATTTAAGACGATGAGCTATGATAAGAAAAAAGATGATCACCTACAAAATTTTGAAAACTTGCTTGCAAACAATGAACTTCGTCATATAGTATTGATCTATCTATCGTGTGATATATTTTTCTTGGATAGTTGTAAGTAACTCAACGTGGAAACCCGTCTTGCCGGTCATCATCCGACGCGGGGCGTGGACGGCGTGTACAACGAGCCATCTTGCAAAACGCTAAACCTTTGGGCCATATTTGTTTTTTTCTTTTAATTTTTTGCAACATAAAGTCATCATCTGAACATGACGTGACAGTCCAATGGCATGACGTAGCGAGATGGAGTGATGTAGGAGCTGACAAGAATAGTGGACTTGGTCGCGGATACATGCATGCTTAGGGGTGTCTTGGGACACCACGAAAATTTGGAAACATGATTATTCAACGTCCGGATAATAGTTTATGTATGAGCAAAAAAATGTCAGAGATATTTGTTGATGAATATAGAAACCGAATGTATTTTACTATTTTATTAAACACGTCTAAACAAAACTTTTAATATAACTTTTATAAGTCAGATATTTTTCATATTTAATAATTATTTAATTTTTTTTTTTATAAAGAAGACCCTCCTGGATCAGGCACCGTGGACTTGTAGACAAAGTAGCTCATATGCGGAACAAATTGAAGCATCGTGGCGGGGTTCTGCAAAGTAGGGATGACAACAAAACCCGAACCCATGGGTACCCACCCGACCCAACTCGGTTAACGCGGGTAAAATCCGTTTTGACGGGTTTTGGATCGGGTTGGGTTGGGTTTTGGTTTAGGTAAACCCGACCCATGGGTACCCGCCCACACCCATATAATTAATTTTTTCGATATATTTAATATTCTAAACAACTAATCTTATTTATGTTTGTGGAGACATGTCTAATTTTTTCTTTCTAATTGTGTAGAATGAAGTTGATGTTATCTAGTGGAGAGTGAAGAAACTTAATTGAAAGGAAGAAGCTTTCAATTAATTATATTATTTATGGATAATTTGTGATTTGCTTCAATTTTCTTGAGTTTTCTAGATTGTTGTTGAACAATTTGTATAGTTAATTTGTGGTTTGCTTGAATTTTCTAGAATTGTGTTTTAAATATGGATAATTTGTATTGACAGATTGATATTTGACTTTAGTTTTGATAGGAACTTGTTATTGTACATTATTTACGACAAAAACCCGTGGGTATCCAGCGGGTTGGGTTGGGTTTGTGTTTTTCAAACCCAGTGGGTTTTACCCCGGGTTTTTTTCACGGATAAACCCATGGGTTTGGGTTTGGCAAAACCCGACCCAACCTGACCCATTGCCATCCCTACTGCAGAGCACCGGTAGGCGGTAACTACGATGCATTCACTCGTCGTCGATAAATAAATAAAAAGTATATTTCCGCTGCCGGGATTCGAACCCGGCCCCGGGGACCTCTTCCAAGAAGCCACTGGGTTCGCACCCCAGGGTTCATCTTAATTTTAATGCTACAGCGGATTGGTGATGATTTTTAGCGTCGTATCTTTTTGGGTAAATATAATTTAATATCCAAACCTTTCATTTTAAACAATATAATAGCCAAACTTTTTCGAAAACAATTTAATATCCAAATCGTCAACTTTCTGTTTGTTTGACCGTTAGTTGACACTTCAAAAAAGTTCGAAGTACGATACTTCATCAATATCCATCGATATCTTCTCTGAAAAACCACCAGCATATCGTAGTTCCAAACCCGAGAAGTCCATGACTCCACCATGATGGTATACAATATCTAAACATTCAGTCATCTGCAATGCCAAAACAAGAAAACAAGTTGAAACCATTGCGCAAGTTTCATTAGCAATAGAAGTGTCTCATGATGGGACATAGCCTACGTCGTGCAAGCGGAAAAAAGAGGAAATTATTAGTGATTTTATGCTAATGAGATTTAAAAATTTAACTTAAAATGCTATAAATAAATCGAGTATCAGAAGAGTTTTTCTGGAGATAGACTTCAAGAAACTCGTAAGTAGCTCAATTTGTTGGCCCAAGAAGAGATAATTGAGTGGATTTATCTCTCCATGCACCGCTACCTTATGCAATAGATGGACGAAATTGACCAGATGCATCATATGTAGTTACTTTTACGTGTGCGTGCATGTGGCAGGTTGAATCATTAGCAGACAAATTTGATGATTTTTATGGACTAGTGAAAAACTACAAATTAATGTTCTAAGTGCAAGCTATATCACTCAGCTAACTCGCCCGCCCTAATCGGCTCTCAATCTGATCCTGATCTAATCCTCAACCCTGTTTTCCAGCAATCCCGTAACAAGTTACCTCTAATAGCTAGTAAGCTTAACCTTGCTTTGCCCAAAAGTAATAACTAATAACCAACACAACTCGAAAACAAAGAACGCACTTATTGCAACATGTTTCAAGTTCAACTATGAAACTATAGTGTCGAATTTGGACACATTGTCTAGTGTTTTCATGTCAAGGGTCAAGTGTTAATTAATATTTGTGAGGAAAAGACACATTGTTAGCTAACTTGTTTATTAAAAAAATTGGCATAATTGAATCAAATTATTATGGGTTAATTGCATGGTTGGTCACTGAGAATAAAAAAAGTTCAAATTTGGTCACTCGGAATATTTAAATCCATTGGTGGTACTTCAGTTTATTGAAACTGTACACGTTTGATCACTCTCCGTCCAACTCCGTTAACTTTTGCTTACATGGCGGTCAACTCTAAAAGTTGACCATTAAATGTGTGACGTGACAATTTAAAAATAATCAAAATTTCCATCTCATTTCCATCTCATTATCACTTTTATTTAAAATAAACAAAAAAACTTTAATTTCTTCTAATACCCAATACCAATACCCCGCTGGT